AAACCATTGATGTAAAGAAAACCGCAGATTTGTGAGGAATTTCCGTTACAGTAATTGCGCCCATAATAGATTTATTTGCACCTCATCTTGCTATTATTTTTAATACTTGTATCGATTCTGGTGTGATTCCTGATTTAATAAAGTATAGTAAAGTAATACCTTTATTTAAATCTGGTAATACATTTGACCCCGCTAATTATAGACCTATTTTTGTACTACCAACTCTCAGTAAAATTTTTGAAAAAATAATTTTGGATCAATTGTTAATTTTTTTTAATACAAATAAATTATTTGATAAAAACCAATTTGGTTTTACAAGGGGTCGCTCGACGTCTAACGCTGATGTTGAGCTTATCAAATATATTTTTAATGCCTGGGAAAATTCACAAGATGCCTTAGGTATTTTCTGTGACCTTTCCAAGGCTTTCGATTGTGTTCATCAAGAGACATTAATCAGGAAACTACTACATTACGGTGTAAAAAAATTGGCGCTTAGACTTATTCACTTCATATTTAAGTAACAGAACTCAAAAAGTCGTAATCAATGGTAAAGGTTCCTCCGGATTGGTAGTATCAATGAGCGTTCCTCAGGGCTCGCTTCTTGGCCCATTCCTGTTCCTAATCTATATTAATTACTTACCTTATCTTGTAGAGGACAATCACGATATAGTATAATTTGCTGACGATACCTCTTTAATTTTCAAACTCAAACGGCAGTCAGTTAATTATGACGATGTAAATAATGCTCTATCGAAATTAGTACATTGGTTTAACGCCAACAATTTGCTCTTTAATGGCAATAAGACAAAATGTATTAAGTTTACAATACCTAATGTAAAACATTCGAAAACCAATGTGCTCTTAAATTGGGAGGAGTTGAGTCTTGTGGATACCACTGTTTTTCTTGGTATTACTATTGACGCAAAACTTCAATGGGGCCCCCATATATCTAAATTAGCAAGCAGACTTTTTTGCAGCATATGCTGTAAGAAAGATTAGAAGTCTCACAGATGTTGGGACAGCTAGGTTAGTGTATTTTAGTTACTTTCATAGGGTAATGTCTTATGGAATTTTGCTATGGGGTAATGCGACTGATATTGAAGGTAAATTTGTTTTGCAAAAGAGAGCCGCACGGGCGATTTATATTCTAAATTGTAAACAGTCCCTCAGAAAAAAATTTAAAGAAATAGACATATTAACTTTGGCATCGCAATATATTTATGAAAATGTAATGTATGTATATAAAAACATAAATAGCTTTAATAAGAATAAGGATGTTCATACCTTAAACACTAGGAACAAACATAAGCTTGTAATGCCAGTTACTAGACTCTACAGAATTAGTAATTCATTTATTGGGCAATGTATACGCTTTTACAACAAAATCCCAAGTGGTAAATAAAAAATGAATTTCAATAAGTATTATGTAATAATACTTATTGAAAGTCATAATACTAGTTTCATACACCACAATATATTGAATAAAAATCATTCTATTCTATTCTATGGTACGGTTGTGTATGATATTATGTGTAGAGAATCGAAGAAGTTAGTTCTCAGGGTTGACAATTTCTACATATTGATTCTTAATCGAGGATTGATGTAGATTCTATGGGCTACAGCATCCACTGACCATTAGATGAAATGTGTGTACATTTGTCACTCTTATTAAATAAATAAAAAAAAACATTCATACACCAGCGAAAGAAGTCAATACAGCTGAATTCAGGGTTTTAATTTTCTATACAATATGTAGTAGCACCAACTCAGAAAAGTAGAATTATTTTATTCCTATTAATTCCTTCTTTTAATTACACACATCTTAAAAACAAGTGTTTTAAAGGTTTTTTTAGAAGTTAGTGCTTTAACCATTAATGCATTTTTGTCCGTTTTTTGGTACAACTAAATTATCAAAATTAATAAAGTTCCTAAACGTAAACTGGCACTGTTTTTGAACGAAACGTGAAGAAAGCGATATATCCATCCTCCTCGCACAGACACTACGCGTCGTGCGCATCACAACAGTAACTGTCGTTCGATTTGAAATTTGTCAAGTCGATGTTCGGCAGCTATTCGTAAAACAGTGCAAAAATTTGGAATAAAAATGGTCAAACCACTGCGAACTGCGGTTATTTCGAAAGGAGGTGAGTTTATTGTTTATTTTTGAACAATTTATAACCACTTTGCATGACAATTTATAGGATTGTTATGCTAAATTATAGGTGTCACTTTTTACGGACATTGCCGCTTTACCAACACTAGGTATTTAATTTTAGGTGTCCCAAATAACGGACTTTGCTAATGTTACTAACAATAATAATCTAAATGAGCACGTATGCATTATTTTTTTTAATGTCTAATGCTTCATGGTGTTTGGTTTTAAATGCTAAATATGCTTGTTATAGGGAATTCCACTAATAATATCAAAACATGGCGTGCGCAAAGAATTTTGGCTATGATTCCACCGTCAGATTCGGAACCATCCGACGTCGAAAATGATGACAATATTGAAGAAGGAGTAGTTTCACGTATAGCGTTAGACGATTCATCTTCCTGCCGAACTCTGTCTCCCGGGCTGGAAGAATTTTTGAATGGTTTTGATGACGATATTGATGAAGAATTAGCGAGTCCTTCTCTATTAAATAATTGTTATGATACTTTGGTGGATTCCCCTGCAACGAGCAATATTTCTCTTGAACCTTCTCCATCTGTGGTCACCACGTCAGTACAGTCTCCAAGAAATATTTCCACTGTTCAGCCGCAACAATCAATACCATCCCCAGTAACACCACTGGGTATTTCAATACGACGCACAAGAAACATAAGAAATTCAAATGATCCTTCTACATCTAACCAAGTCAGAAATAAGCGAAAAAAACTAGAACAGATGGAATTCGAGTTCAAACGCCAAAAATTCAGAAGCCAGGTACACATAGATTGAGAATTTCACCCTTCTATAGATTATACGGATAAAACATCATTCGATTATTTCGAGAAGCTTTGGAATGAGGATTTATGGAACCACATCGTCGAAATGACCAATTTATACTCTATGCAAAAACAAGGCAAGTCAATAAATCTAACAGTGAAAGACATAAAATCCTTTGTCGGTATTGAAATTTTAATGGGAATAGTAAGCATGCCAGCATATGCTGATTATTGGGCACAAGGTACTCACTTTGCTCCTATCACAGACGCTATGTCTCTCAAAAAATATGAGAATATAAGAGGAAACTTACACTTTAGTAATAACGCGGAGGATGATAATGTAGATCGTTATTTTAAAATTAGGCCCGTGATGGAGCACTTACGGCTAAATTGTTTGGCGATTGAAGAGGAAAAGTCGTATTCCATAGACGAGATGATGGTGCCGTATAAAGGTAAAAAGGCTGGATCTCGGCGTCAATATATGCCGAAAAAACCCACAAAATGGGGTTTTAAATTTTTTGTTCGAGCTGGGAATTCCGGGATAGTATATGACTTTTTCGCATACGATGGTAGCAACAGTTTTAACCACGCTGAATTTACAGAGTGGGAAAATAATTATCTCGAGATTGGCGGGAGAACAGTTATAAAGCTGTGTAAAACTATAAAGGATAAACCTATGTCAACTGTTTATTTTGATAACTGGTTCACGTCTTTGGAGCTAATATAATTATCATCTAAGAAATGAATATTGAATTATTTCTTTGGGGACCATAAGGGAGGACAGACTTAGAGGGCAGAATATTGTCGAAGATAAAGTGCTGAAGAAAAAAGGTAGAGGAAGCTATGTAATGATTTCAGACAATAAAAATAAGCTATCAATTGTGAAGTGGGTGGACAATGACTGTGTAAATTTAGCGAGTTCATATTGCGGAGAAGAGCCTGTTACCAGCATTTTACGATATAATAAAGATGTGCGCGAAAAGCGGCCTGTTTCATGTCCACACATTATCAAGGAATACAACAAAAAAATGGGCGGGGTGGATAAAGCCGATATGTTGATTTCTTTATACAGGATTGCTCTGAAAAGCAAGAAATGGTATATGAACATTTTCAGCCACCTCATCGACATTTCTCTGAATAATGCATGGCTTGTGTACAAACGTGAAATGCAGGAAATGGGTGATAATTCTATACCACTGAAAAGGTTTCGAATCCAAATTGCAGATGCACTAATAAAATCTGACACGCGTATAAAAATTGTAATAGATTCCGAAATTCCAGCTGAAATCACTAAACCTATAGTTCCGAGGCCGCCACCAGAGATGCGGTTAGATGGAATCAACCATCTACCCGATATCGATACACAAGGACGGTGCCGTCTATGTATTAAAGGGAAACAATGATAAAATGTCTGAAATGCGATGTAAGATTGTGCCTGACTCAAAAAAAGAAGTGTTTTTTGCAATACACAAAAATAATTAATTAATTACTGTTTAATTGCTTAAGACTATTTTTTAACTATAAATATTTTTTGCCAATTTCATTGTTTTATTAAACCCACGCTTTTGTATATTTATAAATGGAATTGTTATTTAATATGTCAATGTTTCTAATATATACAGTATCCAGCACTGTCCTTTTTCTAGGACGCTAAATAAAAGAGCTGATTTTTACGTATGCAGTGCTGTCCGTTTTATGGGACATTAAAAAAAACCTTCTAAATAAATGTTTTTTCTTTTTCTTTTATATTTACATTTAATTACATCCCTAACAATACATAAAAATAGATTTTTGAACACAAAATTATGTTTTATTAGTGCTTTGCCGCTTTAAGGGTTAAATGCTACAAGTGTCATAATAGATAAGAGTGATCATTTATTTATCGTCACTGGCTACACCGGATATCAGTTGTCAAAATTACTTAAACTGCTGCGGTTGTCTTGTCATAAGTTTGTTGTATCAATTTGTATGTCAATTATCAATTAACCCTTGTTAATGATGGCCTGTTGATTATTAAAAAGTAGTGGTTGGTGCAGACATTATAGATGTGCAGTGTAGTGCGTGTGTAAATAATGGCTTCTGGAGGCGAAGAGCTCTGGCGCGAGTGCGCGTCCTGGTTAACAAGATGTGGCTTGCTGCGTCCGGACCACAAGGCAAATTGGGAAACAAGCACCATCCACGATCTGGCATATACACTACGCGATGGTGTTCTGTTGTGCAATCTCCTAAATGTATTGCACCCTGGCTGTATTGATATGAAGGACGTTAATCAGCGACCCCAGATGGCACAGGTATTCCAGCTGCGGTGATCGCGTTATTTATTTCAATTACTTATATATTAAATATCTAATTGAAATAATACATTTTATACTAAGTATTAGACAAAAAAAGTTGATTTTTGTCCGCCCTTTTTAAACTCTCGAATAAATTGCAACTTTTTTACATTTCATCTATCAATACTACGTAATTTTATCACAGGAGATATTTGGAAAAGTTTAATATCAATTGCTAATCACAGTTAAGTTTATAAGGACAATTGTACAGTTATGTCTTTATTTGTCACAGTGATGTTAATTATGTATGCACAGATGAGTAGCATTATGTTACCATTCATGCCTGTTTGAAATATTTCAATTCAGTGAATATATTCCGGTGATATCAGTGTCATGAATGAAAGAGGGAGTATCACATTAGCATATTCACTTTAGCTATATAGTAAAAGGAGTACTATGGTATATATATAGTGGAATAGAATTAACACTTGTGAATAATATTTTGGAACTTATAATATGTATTAAAATTTTCTCTTTTCATTTCATTAGTAAATAAATTGATCATGTGATTTACTCATAATTAAAATATTGAGTAAGTGATAAGAAAACAGTGGATTTATTCTACAACTAAAAGAAACCTTGATAAGTATTTTGATAGTGGTAAGAACACACACACACACACACACGCATATTAAGCAGTAGTGCATTATGTGTATAGAAAAAGAAAGTCATTAAAATTACATGCTTACTAGTTAATTTCTAAATCTTTTTATTAGTTGTTTACCTACTTTCAAAATGTAGGTATCAGTGTACCTGAGTGTATTACAGAATCATTCAGTTGATTGTTGTCAATGATTACTGTTTGATATATTTTCACTCTCTCTCTATTGTGTACCAACTGATATTATATAATATTGGTTTTATTTAGCTCAGACATTCCATCAATTACATATTGCCATTTTGCACAACCAAATAATTAGATACTCAATAAATTGAGCAGATTGATTAACAATTAAAATGTGTGTGTGTTTTGTGTTTTGATTGATTTCAAGAAATTCGAGCTATCTTTTCAGTAATAAATGTTTTTATGTAGATAAATATGATTGGATCTATCAAAACTATTAAACTGTTATTTATATAATTAAACAATTACTTTCTTTAATATGGATAATAAAAAAATAAGATTTATAAGAATATAGGTAATAAAAATTTAAAACTAGATTTTAAACTGAATGAACTAGTGATAAAAATGAGTGATACATATTCTTTATTAAGAAAATACAAATTACTATATTCATTTCAGTGATGTGTTTTGTACATGTCTATTGGAGATGCATCTAAAGCTTCATAGTCTGAAGTAGTTGCAGGTGCCCATAGTCTGTGGAAACTACTTACAGCTATAAATATATATACTGAGGTGGACATATTATTATAATAGAAATAAGTATCTTTTAACACTAGAAGCTCAGCTGTCCCATTTTGGTCTCACCTGCAAGTTTGATCATCTCTAACTATTTTATCTTTTATTTAGGTTGATGAAACTTTTTGACTTATTAATTTTATGTAGTGAACTAATTTAAAATGTTTTCAATTTTATAACAAGAATAGTTTATGAAAAAAAATCTATTTACCTAGAACTGTCGCTGGGTCATTTTTGTCCTGTCACTGTTTTAATAAATAATTTGATGTAAGGTCTGCGCTCTAGGCAGTTATTACAATGTCTTGTAATCGTTTTCGTAAGAAAATGAAGTAATTTAATTCAATGACAAGTCTAATAGACACTGAAGACTAAGTGAAGGTAAGTTTGCTATTGTTTTCAGAATATGTTACGAATTTATTACTTATGTACTAGTGTGTTACATACCAGAGTCATACATAACAAATGATGAACAATATTTTCTTCCTAAATGCCGCTGCTGATTTATCCAGTTTATGAGCTCTAAACAAGACAAATATGGAAAATAATTTTGGGTAGCTGAAGACAAAGATCAAAACGATGTGATAAATGCGTTTCCTTATCTTGGAAAAATTATAAGAGATCAAATGAGCATCTAGGTGACTGGGTTGTGAAGAAATTTACCTTACATTACCTTACATCAATAAGGGCAGAAATGTTACTTATGACAACTTTTTCACTTCCCTTTTGTTAGCAGAATATTTGAAGTCTAAAAATAAAAATACTAGTAACATGGGCACAGTCAATAGAACTTGCAGAGAAATACCAGGCAAAACAGTATTTAGAAAATTTATTTCTAAAACAGGTGATAATAATATACCTTTGACTGTTTATCAAACTAAACCTAATTAAAATGTCCTAATGTTCAGCATCCCAACATAACAATAGACTTTAGGTAAAAGAAAAACCTGAAACTGTGTTATTTTACAACAACTTGAATTTAGAGTAGGTGTTGTAAATATACTGTAAAGGTGCCTTCAAGACATTGGCCAGTTCATAAATTTTATAATTTGTTAGATTTAGTGGGTATAAATGCATAGGTATATTGTATGAATTTATTAACAACAGCAAAATTAAACTCAGACTCTTGTTATTGTAATTGGGAAAAGAATACTTGCTTCCACAAAGTATATAACTAGTAGAAAAACATGCATTCCTGTAGCAATTCAAGAACACATACCAGAGTCTGTTGAAGAATGTAGCTTCATCTCCCGTCTAACAGCCATGAGATTAAGAGTGTGATCGGAGAGTTTTTGTGTTCTTCTGCGGCGGGTCTTGCAGAACTTAGCTCCGACCGCATGGACAGTTTCCACGAGCTTGTCATTCATATCGTCCACTTCATTGCAGTCTTCCAGGCACTGAAAACGGTTTTGTAACTCGAGCTGAAAGGTTTCGGGACTTTGGAACAGAGCACGAGGGGGACGGAGCGTTGACTTCATTAGTTCATGGAGTGACGACCTGGTAAGACATGCAGGAAGTCGATGGATGCAGGTGGCTCAGGACCGTGCTTTGTGGCATTCTTTGGGGGAGGCCTATGTTCAGCAGTGGACTTGTGAAGGGCTGTAATGATGATGAATGATGATGATGAAAATATCCAGTTTTGTAGTGAATGCAGAAAATCGAAACAGAATGGAAAAATGAATTTAAAATAATGTAAAATGATAAGTAAGTAGCATAACACTACAAGATACAAGGAACTAATGCTCGACACTTTAAGGAATACACAAATTTTATGCTTCATAATCAAATATATTTATAAAATTAGAACAGTTACAGTTTTTTATCTGAGTACAGTAACATTACAAAAACTACTTTTAATCATAAAAACTTAAATAATCGACTTTATTTATATTATAATTTTTATTTATTTAAACTTTGGCATAGGAACTAAAAGATGACATTTTTACCACTATTAGTAAGTCATCAGTAAGTACTAATAGTAGACATATTAGATACGCACATTCTTATCATACTACTAAAGTATGCATTTAATCAAATCATACAACAAATTATCATAAATTTTTAAGCTTTCATATAATGATGTACTAGTAAAATATTTTCATATCGAGTGTTATCCATCAACTTGTAAAGTTTCAGGAACAGACAAACTTAACTTTCTTGGTATCTCTCATATTTAAAAATGACCAAAGGAGGTAGAACATCGCTGGTAGCATTGCTAGCATTGCACCTAGAAGTACAGTAAAGCATTCTTTTTCATCCGTAATAATTTTCTGATAAACCATTTTGCTCCTTTAGGTGCTAACATTTTATTACCTTTAGTATTTAAGAAAAAAGCTGTCTCATCCATATTAAAACTTCTTCGAGGTTCATACAACATATCCCAGTTGTTGTTATCATTTAAGTAGCAGCTGACCTCTTCGAACCAGTTCTTGAATTGAGATGTTGTCACATTAGCTCTGGAAGTAGTCAAATTTTGGGGCTGTCTTGCAATTAGATCGGGGTGACGTTTTGAAAATCTACTGTACCATCTTTTTCCAGGTCTATCGTTCTTAAAAGGGGTTTCTAAATTTAAATCATCTACTAATTTCTTTTAAAAGGAAATCATCTACTAATTTCTTTTAAAAGGATTTCCGACAGGGAAAGACAATTTGCAAGATAGTGTTAAGAAAATAGAGAATGATTTAAATTTAGAAACCCCTTTTAAGAATGGTAGGCTTGGCAAAATATAGTGCAGTAGCTTTTGCCGACTTACCAACATCTTTTCTATTTCTTCGGTCATATAACAGTTTATTCCCATTTTACAATTTATTTGTTTTTCTCTTTACTTTATTCAATAGAGTTACTCTCGGTACACCAAATTTTTTGGCAGCAATAGCTGTCGGAACACATCGCCTGCATTCTTCTATAGCTGCTTCCATATCAGCTTCAGAATAATAAAACATCTTTCCTTTTTTGGCGGCATCTTGTTCAAATATAAAATCCGGAATCAAAAGAACCATCTTTCCTTTTTTGGCGGCATCTTGTTCAAATATAAAATCTGGAATCAAAAGGACATTTAACTAATTGACGATGACACCAATAGTTGTCATCTTGTACCCTAATAGATGACATCCTGTATATAGTTAGGTATGATAGTGAAAAAGTTGTCAAATTTAGACAGGCCTTCATAGGAAATAGAGTCTTTACTCGTTTAAACGGACACTTAGAAATTCAGATTCGTATCACCCCAATAGATGACACATGTGTCTGCTTTTAGGTTTTGACTAATTTTCGACACTAATAGTAGTCACTCTAAATAAGTACAAAATATAAATGAATAATGAAGTCTGTGGGGTCTTACTATGTTAATAATATCTTATTAATTCGTAATCGTAAAAATATAAACCAAAATAAAACATGTGAAATGTCAACCTCCTTAAATTTTTTGATTATAATTCACAGAGCACGTATTCACTTGCTACATAGTTTACTTCAACTCATGCTTATTTGAATACTATTTAAATAGGCGAATGAAAGGTTTTGTCTAAGCGTCTTAGATGACACTAGATGTCTTTTAACAACAGTACTAAAGTTATATCAAGAAAACTATTCTTAATAAAAGAAATTTTTTTCGAATGTGTCATCCTTTAGTTCAATGTCGAACACTAGTGCCTTTACCTTACAATAATTACTATGTGAGTTGTGATGATTTCTGTACATAGTATTAAAACGGTCGCTTCCCTTAGATCTTTTAAACTACACAATGGATTTTGATAAATTTTTTTGTGTGTGTTTGAATAGATCCTTAGATGGCTTAGATTCACATTTGGACCTGGAAGACCATTTCACCTGTGCAAAGTCAGGGTAGACCGCTAGTTGTTACTAAATCAAAAAATATTGGAATTGTTATTCTTCATGCATTAAGAGTTTGATTTAATTTGATTAATGAACATGTTTCACATATTTTACAAATATGTTTAATCATAACTTTCGTATATTAATACTAATAATCATTATAAAAAATAGACTGGGACAAAAATGTCACGACGGCGTTCCAAGGGGGGTCCTAAACTTCTGCGCTTCTAGTGTTAAACAGTATGCAAAGTTTAGTAATTATTTTCTTTGTACACTGCAGTTTTATATTTCGGTACTTTTAGAAATAATGTATTTTGGCTAAACGCTATTTTCCATCTTTGATTTCTTTTTAGATTTTACCTTTTTTTAGGATATTATTTGTGCTCTTTTGGTATTAAAGGATTCAATGGGGTCATAAACCTTTCCTTGGAGAGTAGTTTTAATTCCGGTACTTTTATCATACGTAAGATTGAATATAATGCAATTATTAACTTTCTAGGTCTTTGAAATAATATATGCAAACAAACATAATTAATACTTTAAATCTAATAATGGCAATAATGAAAATATCACAAGCTAATACAATAAAAAGAAAAAAATGTTCTTTGATTTTGGACAGTGTTTTTTTGATTCTATTTATTAGTCCAGTAGTCTTTGAAGTTGTCTGATCAGGTTTGAAAACCTTTTTGCACAACCCAATTTTGAATATTTTTAATTAAATCAAATAATTGAGGCGCTATTGCTTAGTAATATAATTATAATATATATGTATATATTATAATTGTTGTCAGAAAGTAGTTCATGATAATATATCAACAATAATAATTTCATAATGATCTGAGCATTAACTTTTGTCGTTTCTTCCTAGTTGTGTGCTACTATTAAAAAAATATAAAAACTATTTTTATGATATAAATATTTATTTACAGTTTCTTTGCATGAGGAATATAAAAGTGTTTCTCCGCACATGTCATGAGGATTTTGAGCTGCGGGAAACAGATTTGTTTGACCCATCAATGCTCTTTGACCTATCCAACTTCCACAGAGTGTTGTGTACATTGGCCAAACTTAGCCAGTGTGCCAAATCATTAGCTAAAAATATAAAGTAAGTTACATTATCAATTGTGCTTAAGTTTTTCAAATATGTTTACACATGCTTTAAGTCCCACTTTTGTTTTCTTGTTTAAATTCATGTTTAATGCCTGCACATATCATTTTATTACTATGTTTACTTGTACTTTTAATTTTATTTTGTATAATATATCCATTTTTCTTTTAAATTTATAATTTATGTAGACATATAGAAACGAAAATATCGAAAACTATTTATATTGCATATTATTTACCTTTTTTCATATTTATATTACTATTAAAGTACTATTTTTACATTATATATATTTATGACTTATTTTCAGACCATTCTCAGCGCACAGAACACAGTCTGAAGAAGATATTTATAAAGATCTGCAGACAGTGTAAGTTACTCTTTTTAGTATTTATAGCAACACTTTAATAATCTATATAATTCTTTGTAACACTTATATCAACTTATAGTAGTGCGAACATGTCGCTCGAAGCACCAAATTACATCGTAAATGAGTCTCAAGAGAGACCAGCACCAGCCGAAGTTCCCTGGGTCCAGTTTACCATACCCAATGCTACTTGTGAAGACAGAGTTGAGGAGATATATGAGGATCTGTGCTATGTCAAGTTTACTTCTGCCATGCCTGAGGTGGCGATTTCTTTTAAAATCTTTACTTTTAATATGTTTACACACCAGCGCTTGCATTTAAAACCTTTGGTTTGAAATAATCTTTAACAGTAAGGCTTATATGATGATATATACTGGTGCTTTATCGGGTTAACATGGGGTTTAGGTTTTTAATGGTATATACTTAACAGCTAATAATAAAAAAAACGAATAGTATAACACTGTTAACAGTACTAATAATCTCATTATGTACTCCCAATGAGCTTAAAATGCTTGTGTGAGGAGCAGTTCACTACAGTAGTCAGATGGCGGATTGGAATCGACGACTTTCCGCATGAGCAATCAACATTATTAACCATTAGACTACTGTAGCTTACTATATTAAACATTAGAACTGTTTTCAGTCCATTATAGAACTGTTTTACTTGTGTTTTTTAAAAATTCTTGTCGTTTATGTGTAAAACATTATATACTGCAAAACTTGAAAAATAAAAGATGATATGGCGTAAAATGATAAACTTTACTAGTAGGTACTTTAATGTAGCTAATCATAATGGTTATATGTCAGTGATAAAATATTTAAACATATTGCTTATCAAGTAAATAGGTGTCATTCACTCTTTACTGTTTAATGAAAAGCTTTAGTATATTCTCTCCAAATATAACACAAAAATTTACAACTGATTCTTTCAAAAATTGATATTACAATGTTATTTATACAACATTTAATTTATTATATAATCAACATAAAAGAGTTAATCGAAGTGAACATATATGAAAGCGTGTTTTGTACACGCCGCGTAGGGTTAGCAGTGCACGCGCTGGTGTGTAAACACAGTGAAACAGCTGTGCCGTTTCCAAATTTAATTACGCCGTTCTGCATGGAATTCAGTCGCTAAAAATAGAGTAATGATAGTATTTGGAAAGGGAGGTTACATTCACATCATACATTTAAAATAGTTTTGAGTGATTGCTCTTCCCGTACGCTCTTTGCAAAGTGTTTCATGCTGCAATGTTTTTTTCTTATTTCTGCTTATAAGTCACCAGTATAATATGTTAAGTAATACTGTTTATTATAATAAGAACCCGTCAAAAATATCATAAATAATAATGATTTCTCATTAATATATAATGTCCAAAAACACTGCGACAACTTCCGATTTTAAACAAACTCAACGGTTAAAACGTTTACTGAAAAGAGTAATTTTTTATCTATCACCATTTCCACAATTAAGACAAATTTAACGACACTTTATATGTTAATAATACCTTTAAAGCTTACAGCTTCTTTAGGATACAGAGCTTGCCAGGCATACATACATACAAACACTCGATAAACATTATCCTCCTTTTGGGGCAGTCGGGTAAATAGTGTTGATAAATTATTAACAGAAACAGAAACAGAAACTTTTTTATTCAATATAGATTATAAATAATACTTATTGAAAGTCACTCTTTTGTATGATTACCACTGCTTCGAAAAAAAAACCTCTGTCCTGGGAAGAACCAGCAAGAAACCCAGCGGGTCTTTTTTTTTAAAAAATAACAGCTTACAATCATGTATGTTACACAAATTAACAACACAACAAGTTAGAAATAGCTTGGTAGCGATCACCTCATTCGTAGGGGTTATTATCATCTATAAATTCTTTAATATTATAATAACCCTTTTTATACTAACTTAGTTTAATAAAGTTATTGAACTTTGAGCAGGTCGAATTTTGTATATTTTAATTATGTATGTAATTATAATAATTTTTAATTGTACAAGACATAATTATTGTAGTTCCTTACGTGTAGATTAACTCGATCACACAGGCAATCGCGTTGTTATTATTCAATGTGTTAATGTTTAAAATATCGGGCTAGGCATAAATATAGTATACAACATAAACTTTCACGATATTACACCTGAGCTTTAAGACAACACAACTTTGGTTTTTGTTTAAACATCGCCCTCGGCTTGTTTTCTTCAGTAAAACGTATATGTGTGTTGTATGTATGCGATGTTTGGCACGTGTGCATGGGCACGCGCTCCTTGTTCTGTGTAGTGTACCGGATGGTAGTTGAGTAAGTGTGTGTAATCATTGAAGCTTATGAGCTTACACGTGCCCGTACGTTTACTTGCGCTTTATTGATGCGTGTATTGTAATATATCCGCGTAATTCAATGGTCTGACTAAGAAAACTTACGTAGTTTGTTCAAATTTCAGTCGTGGACAGAGTAAATTTTACTGCGTACACTTTATTGCTCTCGGCTCTCAACGGCGCTCGCCGTAAATTTAAGTGTACGCGAAAAAACCCGTGTTCGCCAGTAAAGGAAAAAGCATGAAGAAAAAACCATTCCCTCCCAGAAACGAGAGATAACCTGTGCTCAGTAGTCAAACGTTATAGACTGTTGCTTATTTTTTTAACCGATTTCAAGGTCAACGTTCTCAATTCGACTACTTTTTTTTAATGTGTGTTACCTCCGAACTTTTTTCTAGGTGAACCAATTTTGATTACTGTTTATTTGAACGCTGGTGCTTCTCATGTGGTCCCATATAAATTTGATCAAGACCTGACCAGTAGTTTTTGAGTTTTCCTTAATAATGCGTATTTAATTGGCTTCAACTACATTGATGATGTTCTCATTTTATTTATATTGAAGTCGGTTGTACAAAATTTTTAATTTTACCACTTGTTGCATGAATAATATTTGAATTTAAACACCATGATAAATCCACTACATCACTACGTTGTTGTGGCGGTTCATGGTTTATTACTTTCTATAATTGGTAGGGGACTGTCATCTGCATTCGTTTAGATCTCTGTAAATTTCAAAAAATGTTTAAGTACCTAATCACAGAAAAAATATACATATATGTATCGTAATGTCTTTATCGTTCAGTGAAGGTTCGTCATCATCATTACAGTCCATCACAAGTTCACTGTCGCCGTTATAAACCACCTGCGTCCATTGACTTCGCGTATACCTCATAATTGTCTTGTCAAACTTCCCCATCGGTTGTTGGTTCATATAAGATACTAGCGGTCCGCCTCGGCTTCGCACGGGTGATTTCTGGATCTCCACAACAGTGCCACTTACCCGGTCCAATTGTGAATCTATACCAATCTAGAATCAACTTAATAACGCACACACAAAATTTCATCGAAATCGGTCCAGCCATTTAGAAGGATTTTAGTCACATACACACGGACAGAAGAATTATATAATAAAGATTTAGGTATCGAACATGCCTGTGGTAAAACTCATTGCTGTTGTAGTTTTATTTAGTTACTGGTTTTTCGTCTTACTACGTAGCCAACGCTCACGCATTAATGTAAAACTGAATTCGATGATTGCTTGTTTGTTCAATAAAAATTTACTTGAGAGGAATATTCCGTTTATTCGAGATGTTTTCTAATTATAACTACGAGAAGTGTGCTTTGCGATTTCATACATTTTTATAGAAGGGCTCTAAAAAAAAGTTCTATATCTATTAGTCAAGTTTACTAACAACAGTCCATCTGATGGTACGAAGCTGCGTAGGTGAGCATGGGTGCCTGCGATTTGCTACGCAAGGGCCAAGGAGCTGCACTTTCCGCAGCCAGAAGCCGTTGCAGAAGTAACTATGTCAATATTCCTATGTAAAAAAGTGAGGTTATGATTTTACAAAAAAAAAAATACTCATAAATTGTACATTTTCGCAAGGGGGGAGGGTAGTGGGGGCTTCCCCAGAACCGCACAAACGGCGACACACAACTGTTTTAAATGTCCGTAGTCGTGAAGTCGATACGTCGACGTGCAGAAAAAAATACAGCATTACACTTTGGGGAAAGAAAGTCGAACGGTTCTGTGGTAGAAATTATTATTTATAAGCTTTTATTAATTTTACTTTATATTTCTTTCTTGTTTTGCAACGTTAAAGAAACCGTCTCACTATCTCGTCGTTTGATAACGTGAGACGAGATAAACACCCCTCAGATTATCTTTATCTCTTTATTGACTTAGGTAGTTAACGTGGTAGAGGCACGCTGCAGCATTGTTTACGTTGTAGCATGAATGGGTCGGCTCGACCGGGGAAGGACCACGCTCTCACAGAATACCAGCGTGAAATAGCAGCTTAATACTGCTGTTCCGTATGATGAGTGTAGAGAACCGGAGACCCTTTTTACCGGATACGAGGTATTCCATCTTAGTCCTTAGGGGCCACAACGCATCTGCATTTTGATTCATAATTAAAAATAAATGTAGTTGTCTATGGGCCACAGCCCACAGCATCCACTTACGATCTGGTAGACTGTGTGCTCGTTTGTCAGTCTTATTCTATAAAAAAGGTGTCTATCAAGCTTTGTTTAAATCAAACACAAATATAAAGATAGTGGAGGCGGCTCGTTCAAATGTCTAGTAAGTAGATCAAATGAAGTCGTAGCAAGGGTTGTAGCCACCTCGGGGCCGCTAGCACTGAAAATACCGACCCTTACCCTCCCCCTGAGATTTTACTGGCTTCATTTAAAATATTTAATATAATATAAGGTGGGGATTAACTTTCATTTGCCCCCTAAAATTTGTCTATTTCACAATATAAAATCAATAAGTCTTCTACAGTCAATGTTTATTATTTGATAAACGTAGACAGACTGTAGGTAATAAAATATTAAAATGTATTCCTTTTACTGATCCCTACCCTGGCGAGAGTTTGTATGCAAACTATCTCTATTTTAATCAAAAATATTCAGTTAGAACTATTTCGGACTATTTCGAACGTGACAGGCACGTCCACCTTGGCAGCGATGTAGCAAGACCACTGAACACGGAATGAAATTACTGTAAACAATAATTCAGGCAGTTATTTTGAGAGAAAATACATTCAATATATTTTTGCTTAGTACCTCCGCAGAATAAAATATATTAAATAACATTATTTATTATTCTTGAAAGTGCTACGAATGTATTTTATTTTCATTTATCAATCGTTAATCAGTGCGAGGGTGGGATGCTCAGGTTCGGTCCACCGACTTTATTTTATAGGTATTATG